GGCTGAACACACAGCCCGCTGTACTGATGTTTGTACAGCAAAAATAATTCTGATATGACTTTTAGGGGGAAAAATAAAAGGCAAACCTCAAAGTTTGAATAGGTTGGGAGACAGAAGATTTTACTAAGAAAGATAATTTACTCAGCTGGCTTCACAGATCCATTGCCTCGCTCCTACAGCAGTAATGGACCAAGAAAAGAACTAATTTGAAGTTCCCTCTTAATTCCACCCCCATAGGACCCCAGCCAGATCTCTGGTTTTGACATGTACCAAAAAGGTCCATTTTGCCCTTATATGTATTGCACCTGTCCTGTGGAGAGACAACTCTGCAGTTTAACATTCCTACCCCAAAAAGATGAGCCACCTGATTCAGTAAGTCTAAAGTTAATACTGCATCTGTGTGTGCTGAGGTCTACTATTTCTAACCCAGCCCCAGGCTTTTTGATAGATATTCAGTGGTTTGTTGTCTTATTTAAGTAAGATGATACTCATCCTGTGGAACACCTGAGTGCGGGTTGCCGTGCTAAGCGGTCTGCAGTACACACATACTACTCTTCTGCCTCTATGCAGTACAACATCAGCCTGCTCACAGTGCCAAAAAGCAAACAATAACTATCAAAGCTCCAGATTAAACTCACTTTTCTGGAGAATACATATTCACTGAGTACAAATCTCCTCAGGAAAAGCACCACCTGCATACCCTCCAGGTGCCACAAATATTAGTTTGCTTTGTTGCTCCTCTTAATATTCATGAATAGGCTGTTTGCTTTCCAAATGTCTGTCATCTATTTGGGGAAAAACAAACTATCTGATGATTTAAGTGACCAATGAGCGATACAAAGTGACTGGCCAAAGCAAACTCTGATTTGACAAAGCTTGGAGGATTAACGGGAGTAAATGACATAAGGTTTGGAAATAACAAGTGAGCTTGTAAAGAATCATAGACCTATAGAAGCTCTTTTGTTACTTGATCTACTTTGAGCAGATAATTGAGTTTTCCTTTATTTCCCTGAGAATTCAGCCCTCAGTGCTGGGCCAGGTCCAGACTGTGCCCCACAGAGGTCAGTAAAGCTCCTACCTGCACTGTGGTGGGTGAGCAGGGCTGTCTCATCACTGCATGCTCTGCAAGCAGGCATCTTCCATTGCACCCTGCACCACACTTGCACACTGACAGTATCAAACAGTGCGAGTGCACCTCTGAGCATGGTGCAGCACGTTTGAGGAGAAGTTAGCTCTGATCTGAAGAAGAGAATGAGCCCCTTAAAGCCTGAGAGTGAAGCACACCAGCACACCTCTATGGTCTTCCCACTGTAGCAAAAGTAAGATGCTTGCACCATGGTGACTTTCACTGATCCCAAAATCTCCCAGAGGCGACAGCATCTTTCAAAGCAGCTCTAACATTATTAGCTCTAGAGTTATTTTGGCTGCAACTGGTGAAGTCTTCTCCCCAGCTTTATCAAGGGACTCACAGATCAGTACACAAAAGTGTGGCTTTAAAGTGTCAGGACCAAGCAGAAGATATTGGAGGAGAAAAGTTCTTAAAATAGCCGGTGAACCTTGCCTGGAGGTAAACCTACAAGGAAATGCATCTCAAGCTCATCGCTGTTCAGCACACTCATCTATCATGTGCCTTTAGAGAGAGGTGGCTCATGCTCCTGGCTCTCATACGCTCCACATGTAAACAGACTAATTTCTTCCTCTCCCAAGACACCCCTGACACGCAGGGCTGCAGTGCAGGAGAAGCGTGTTGTTATAGTTACTGGCTATGACTTGCCCTGCCATTAGCGTGTTATTTCCAGTAAATGGTGCTTAAACAGCAGTCGAGCACAGGTTTGTAGAATAATGACTGCCTACATTCACAATAACATGACACAGGCATTTCTGCCACCTATCTCTTCATCCATTTCTCCCTGTCCCTTATATTGTGATCCTCTTACATAAGGAACACAACAAAGGTCACTTCTTACATTCACTTCTGCTCCCTGGAAAGGTCATCATAAAGGGGAAAGCAGAGCTCTTCTCCTCGGGCAGCTCTCAAGTGACAGGTATAGAACACATCATCTTTTAGAGACTGGGGCTGGTAAGCAAAACTGCTTTGCAAGTCAAGTCTGCACAGAGCTATAGTTTTCTGCCTTGGTTTGGGTGTAGCTTTTGCTAGCTAGACCCAATCACTGTAACCCCACAAGAGGCTGGCATAACGCAACCTGGTACATTTTGAGTCAGGATTGTGGTATGACGATAAAGTTGTAGGAATGAGCAAAGATACATGCCCATAAAGTGGATTATGCTGAATGATGCTACTCAGCTGCTTTTGAGATGCAAAGACAACAATTAACTGAGCTGACGTGAACAGACACAAATAGGAACAGCGCTTCATGCCTGGCAGAGAGATGAGACTTTGGTACAGAGGCAATAATAACCTCTCAGAGGCAGACAGCAGGAATGTGGGAACTAACAGGGTTTCAGAGACCCCAGACTCAGATGAATGAAGGCGATGTATTGAACGTGTAGAGGCAATCAGAAGGTGCTGCTTCTGCACCTTTGCCGGGAGTGCAGCAAAGACAGACAGACAAACAGCCCCTAACTGGAAACAGGCTGCTACACGAGAGTCAAAGAGCTGTCTTCGCATGGGTTTGTCCAGGCAAACTGAACCTTGTCTACATTGATTAACAGATTATCCTCACCCTTACATATTAAGAAGTGGTATGACACTATCTTACAGATTTCTCAAGACAGATATAAGAGGTTCCATAAAGTGTGAATTTTTGGCACTACTCAACCAAAAAAGCAGGTTTCCTCTATGTGTTAGAACGTACAAGTAGCTGCTTAGGACAAAACCCTGCTAATCTAATTTATCAGGAGCTTCGTGTGGAAGCAGTTAGGCATGGGATTCCCAAAGGGCTTCCTGAGAAAGGGTCTAGCAAAGATAGCTGCTGAACATATAACGACACTGCTTTGGGATCAGCAGCTTGTGTTCAGCACCCCCTCCTGTATTAGCTTTGTGATTTGACAAGCTAACCGACTGCGTCCCAACTTTGCCTAACCAAGCCCTTATTTCCATTTAACGTTATATCACTATACACATGTATGCTTTCATACATACAATGAAATAAGTGTTAATTACCATCACTGCACGAGAGAAACTGCTGAAATGGAAGTCCCATCCTGCAGCCCTTTACCTGCAAATGCTTCCTGCAGTCTACTGACGAGCCTGAACCCCAGCCAGGGAAGTTAATCCTGGTGTGTACACAGGGTCTTGCATCAAGCCAGTACCAGTCTAAAACATACTGATGAAATCTGCTCTAGTAACAAACCTTGTAAATAAAGCTGAAACTGGCGCCGTGGCTCTTCTCCCACACACATGTTCTCCCTCGAGTTGTAAACTGCGCAGCAGATACAAACCTAGCTACAGAGGGATGGCTGCACGCTGGCAGAGAGAAAAATGAAACAGACCTACAGTGAAATGTATCATTGAACTAAGGATGCTGGAGCTCAATTTGAGCTGCAATAAGCCAACCTTATTTCACGGCCCTCTGTCCAGTTAAGCCAGCACGGCTGTGAATTTCAGTGGACACAAGTTTTGGTATTCAAGAGATCTTACACTTGCAGAAATCCACATGGATCCCATCACTTGCCATGACATTTCAGGAGAAACTTGTCATTAACCTGCACTAATTACTGGCAGTTCCTCATGCTTCTGGAAAAAAACTTCTTCTATTCTACTTTCTACCCTGTTGGCCTATAGGATGGTCAAACTTTCCAGAAGACCAAGAAAAAAAACAGCTCATTCTCCATGTATGATCCAAATTTTCCTGCTTACATTTTGTCTGACTAAAACCTAGCACTAACTTTTCAATTTTTAGGTCTGATAGAAGAGATTCTTCCCATCTCTTGTGCTTAAACCACATATTAGAATCCCACCGCTATAGCATGCAGAATGCTGCTGTTTCCAAGTATTAAGCTGAGCACTTCTGAATGTTGTCAAGGTTGATCCTTAATTTCTACTCTGGCTACATGAAATTACTATTTAAAACTATGTGCCAAGGGGCTTATCCATTGAAAACATTTTCTTCTATGACTGACTGGTATTAATCATTTTCTTCTTTTACACACAGAGGGATGTGTTCCAGTGGGCTTCAAAATGAGCCTTGACATGTAAGGATTATTCAAGTTTTGAATGCCCCTTTCTAAGCAGTGAACATGCAAAAATTGCCAGTGGTCAGGAACGTACATAAGCTGTTCTAGGGATTGGCAGTAAGTACCTGCAAAGGAAAAGCAGCAAATAAGAAGAAAGCAAAGTTAGGGACAGTGATAGGCGACACCTGAAGTGACAGGATTCAGACTTTGTGGCTTTTCACAAAGACCCTTCTGTAAGTTACTGATGGCCTGTAGCTAAGGATCCTTCCTCCAAGTCATAATTGTTCACTGCTCAGATATATAGCAGCTTAGCTCATGCTGTAACCTTATGTACTGCATCAGCATTTCTGAACGGGAGCTCTTTGGAGATGGAGTCCAAGAGGATGTATCTGTACTATGGCTAAGTACCGAAACCTAGCAGACTACTTGCTTGCTTACAGTTATTTATAAGCTTCTGAGCTTTCAGGATTTACTGGGGAAAACCAATTGCACTTAATACCAGAACAACAGCAGGGCAATAGTTCATATTTATAGATTGTAATATAATTTCAGACAGCCCCAAATTCCTTTATAAAGTATGTGTCTGTAAATCCACCTATAAATCAGTATGTTCACAAACACTGTAAGACTGAAAAGAACACTCAGTGAAATTGAAAATGCTGAGTATTTAAGTCAGGCAGAACATGTTTGCTCAGACTGGAAAGATAATCATCCACAAGGACTGCCCATGTCTAGCCAGGGCATTTAAAGCAATGAGCCTATAAGAACTTTGTTTTATGACTTCTGCACAGCAGCTCTCTGTGCAGTACCACTTCCCTAACACAGGATAATACCTCAAAACTGAACTGGAACACTCCACTAACCTGTTTTTCACCACTTGGCTTCCTGTAATTCAGCAGCAGCTCCACAGCTCCCACCACCTCTTTCCGTATTGCGTACAGCAGAGCATCTCCCACGTACACACTGTGGCTCAAAAGCAACTCCATGATCTCCAGATTTTCATTCTCTATGGCTATTAAAAGGGCACTGCGACCAAGAGGATCCATACAGTTAATGTTGATGTTGTAGTAGATCTCTGCCTCTTGCAAGGCATGTTTCACACTGGCATAGTCCCCCTTCTCCACAGCGCTGAGGTAGGCCTTCTCCTCCGCCGAGAGCTCTGCCTCCGCTCGCACGATCTGTAGTGGGATGCGGTCTCTGTACGGTGAGTAGTTTACCTTTTTGTAGTAGAGCTGGGCCATTGTTCATAGTGACTGGGCAACCTAGGGGGGAAGAAGAAGCATTCATAAGTGACAAAACAGACAAGCAACCCCTAACTGTTCTTCTAGGAGACAAACTGCAAAAGCTCCATCGTGGTGAAAGCTTCCGATCCCTTTTTAAGCTGTTTTATTCTCAAAACAATGACTCTAACACCCCCTGAGCAATCCCGCATTAAAAGGCCACCTGGATAAATGAAGGTGACGCTGCTGCTCAGAAGAGGTACACAGAATGGCACACAGTGTATCTCCAAACCTGGTTTAAACGCTATGCTATTGATCGATCAGAATCATGGGCTTGCTGTTTATGGATAATCTATCACGGCTGCAAAGAGGAGGACTTCTCATCTTTGCTTCATTTCCTGCTCAGTGTTTTTTCCACTTCCCTCCTTTTTCACTGCTGAACCAGGTCCTCAGCATCTCCGAGCTGTCGGTGGTGGGAGCTGCTGATTTGCACCCTCCTATTTACAGTAATAAGGTTTATTTTGATTATTTTTGCTGATTCTTCTCTGCTTCCATCTCTTAAAATAGGTTGTCATTTTTCCCTAATGTTTAGTCTTTGACTAGGTCACAGTCTTATTTTTAAAGCTGGCATGTTTTTAAACATATTTTCTCACTCTCCTCTTTTATAAATAGGACCTAAAGGCAGGCTGATGTAGAAAGCCACCACCCTTGCTCTTCAAAGGCAGTGGTGTTGTTTATGGTCTAGGAAAATAATGAGAAGTAAATCCTGCCTTGGAACAAGTGTAGCACACTACATGAATTGCTGTTTCTCCCCATGGCTCAAACATGAGCTGCACAGCTACTCGCACATCAACAAGAAAAGAGCTATGCTCATCGACCCCTGTTTGCCACCAAAAGCCAAATCAGGGCTAGGGGACACCAGCAGCTATTAACTAATTGGATGACTTATTTCATGCCCAAAGCTCGATAGTTTCCTGCAGGAAATCAGCCAGAGCTTTGCTCCATTCTAGTGCCCTATCCAGGAGAAAGAGGAGGCTTTGGTACAGAGATAATGAGTAGGAAGATCCTGAGGTTCAGGTGCCGAGCCATGAGTGAGGCTCTGTTTCTCCCATCCCACCGCACGCCATAAGGCAACCGTGTTTCAGCAGAGACAATCTGCATTCTGCCTTCAGCTCCAGCGTGCTGGGCCCGGTGCAGCAGCAGTGGGTGGATCTGAGCTCCAGCCCAGCTGACACTGCAACCGGTGGGTGGTTGTAGCACACAGCAAAGCTACATCTGCGAATTTTCCTGGGGAGCCAGAGATCTGGAACGGCGAGTTTGGCATCTCAAGCAATGTGCTGGATCCCGCTTCCCTACAAGTGCGAGGAAAGTTTTTGTTTGTTACACTTGCAGAGTTGCAGCTCTCTGCACATATGCTCCAAGCTGACGACACACAGAAAAGCGTTAGAGGCAGAAGGGCCGATCTTCTGAATAGAAGCTATCACAAACACATCGATCTGTTTCCTGGTTATGCTGCTGAAGCTTCTACAGCCAAGGAACAAGCTCAAGTGACTTAGGATCTTCAAGTCTCAATAAGCTACATGTATAGCCAACTACTCTGATCCTCAGAAGAACTAATGGTCACTGGACACTCTTCAAATTTTGGTTTTGAGAAGGTGAGGTCCGGACAATTCCCACTGAAATACTGGTCAGACACAAAAGGATGCAGAACGGGCCTCACAACAAGTAAAACCAAAGAGATCTTTGGGAAAGTAAGGCTAAGCTCTCAAGAGAGGGAACACCGACCAGTGGGACTGGTAGCAGAGGACAGCAGCCGCTGTGTGGAGATCTGCAGGAGAGAATCCACTGACTTCAGAAACCCCAAGGGATTCTGGTGACAAGTGAAGCTGCTAAAGTGGAGCTGAGTATTTCTCACTGCTCTTCAGTTTAATTGAGTGGTTTGTGGATGGTGAGTAACATTTGGAATGAGTTATAACAAATGTCACCTTCTGAAACATCATGCTAGAATTGGATCCCTTTCCTTTCCAACAGTTCTGGAGAAAGAAAGCTTCAGCTATCTTAACTTCTCAGTGAGATCTCATCTCCCAGTACAACCTCAGCTCAAGACAGCACTCTGTTAATACTTCAAGCAAGTAGGAAGCCTATAAAGCTAAACAGGACTCATAAAAGGAATTATTTGCCCTGAATAGCAATAGGATGGGGGGAATGGCTTTAACCTGACGGAGGGGAGACTGAGATGAGCTCTTAGGCAGAAGCTCTTCCCTGTGAGGGTGCTGAGGCGCTGGCACAGGGTGCCCAGAGAAGCTGTGGCTGCCCCATCCCTGGCAGTGTTCAAGGCCAGGTTGGACACAGGGGCTTGGAGCAAGCTGCTCTAGTGGAAGGTGTCCCTGGGCTTGGCAGGGATTGGAACTGGATGAGCTTTAACATCCCTTCCAACCCAAATTACTCTATGATTCTACGAATTCTTCTCATGCCACTATCTGCCCAGCCTAACAAACACGCACTGCTGACTGGATTTGGAAATGATGGCACGTAGTATCAAAACAAATACATGTCTGCCTGGATTATATGGCAGATTTCAGCAAAACCTTTAGCTGAGCCACCCCTCTGTCTGAGATCCAGCACAATTACAGATGGACCTCCCAAACCTGGTGTCTTTCTCTTCCAAAACTGGCTAACAGAGCATCAGTCAAGCATGTGGATGAAACAGTGATGCCAAGGATCACAGCTCTCTAGCTGTTGCTTCCAAGTGCCACCAATTTCCTGGAGGCTGCATCTCTTGATGAAACAAACAGACAATACTGGTAGACCACAGACCACCTGTGTGTCCCAGAGTGGTACTGACTCCTGCTTAACAGTTAAAAAATGGCATCAATATTGATGAAATCCGGGTAACAAAAGGGATTGGCAATTCATAGGTGCTCAGAAAGAAGAACCAGTGACGTACTTGAAAGGTAGCAAAAATAGAAACACAGTCACATGAAAATTTTGGAATCTGTGCAGAGAGCCCGAAAACACCCGTTTTCCATCTGAATTCTCCTCACAGAGGCACTTTCTGCTACTTGAGTTAATATCTGGGGCAAGGAAATATTTTTCCAGTCTATGCCTGGTTGCAGATGCATCAGACAATATCCAATGACTAGCTAATGCAGTGGTGATACCTGCAGCACAAACAGGCATAGAAAAACTAAGAGAACCACATAACAAACTACACAAGGGTAAGAGAACTTACCACTCAGTTTGTACTCTATCGCCTCTCTCCAGTTGGGTCACCCTTCTTCCTGAACTATTAGTCCAAATCTTCAAGCCATTTCAGCCTGACACCACTTCTATGTTGCCTGGCACAGAAATTAAAGCTTTAGCCCCTGAAAAGCAGCCATACCTGGCAGAAACAGCTTGTCTGGTTTGGGGAAGGAAGGTTTCCAGACACATTACTTTGTCTAGTAACACAAAATGGGTTTTCTATCCCATTTCCCAAATTTGTCTGCATCTTCCAGCATTCAGTTCAGATTTATCTATCCCCTGCATCAACGGGGCCACTTTTTTCAGCCTGAAGAGTGAAACGGCATCACATATGCTACAGGTGGGCTTGTTGGGATCTGCTGCCTTCTTCTGGACTGGACTCGTGGCTGGACATGTTACAATCACAAGGGAATGGTCTGACTTCAGTCAAGGGTTTAAAACAATGGCTTTTGCTGAAAACTAAGTGGCTCTATACATGTCACTGTCTGTATGAAATCTACAGTCAGCACTCTACAGACACTGCACTGTCCTCAGTGCTCTTACATTGATCCTCCCACTCTGGTTCATGACCTGACACCCGCTGATCGTCAGAGTGGTGCAGCGTGCCCAGGTGAGCCGGAGGTTGCTCCAGCACAACAGCAAGAACAAAAATTAGCTTTCCTTTCTAATGCTTCTTATTGGAGAGAACAACGTGAAAATTTCACCAAGTTTAGAGCAATGTGTGGTAGCTCAGGAAAAGACAAGGGGGGGGCAGCCCCAGTGATGTGTAAGAAGCAGTGAGGAGAGGGCAAAGAGAAAGAAGAGCAGGGGAGCAGCACTGAATAATAGCCATTAGTTAGAGCTGTGGTTAATGCAGATAGACAGGCAAAGGTCACTCAGCAGCACTGCCTTTTGTCACTAAATATTTCATGAGTTTCAACTGCATTTATTTTTTTGTAGGATCTGTTAAACCATCTTTATTTCCCACTTTACATGCACAACACACTCCCACGTGCCACTCTCTCATGGGAATCAGAATGACCTGTAGGAAATGGGATGAGTGTAACTGAAAGGGTGGGAGCGACTGCTGCTTCACATCTACATAGTCCCGCTATGGAACAGCACCTTCCTGGCTTTTATTTGCTTTTCTCATCATTTGCCTTTTCATGATGCTGAGTAAGAGGTGGAAAAGCACCACTGCTCTGATTGCTGAGCTACCTGTGTAATGGGAGCAGCAAAGACAGGTAGAGGTTTTGAATTTAGATATTGGAGCTCATCGCTCTCAGCCGATGTGAGCATCTGAGGAACAAATCAAAGCCTGGATCTTGAACACAAGCCCAACAGACAAGAGGTACCTTTCCCACTTGAAGGGACACAGTACGAGCAGCCGACTCACATCACACATTAGAGCAGACAACAAAACACCCCATCTGCCAAATTGCAAATAGAGAGGTTGGTTGTTCCCTCCTACCGGCGATTCACTCTGCTACATGTTGGCAAAACCATGCGTGTGGCTTTAAATGTCACTACATCTTCTGTCTCAGATCTGCCGAAGGGTTTATGTGCTGGAAAGCCTGCCTGAATTGTCTAGTTGTACCAGCCCAATACTGCAACACATCTTACTGCACTGCTTCCTTCCATCCTCTTGCCAAGGCTACTTTTTCTTTTTGGTATTTCAGAGAGAGTATTTTCCTCATCTTGCATTTCTAATCTGGACTTTGGGTCTGGAAATCATGGACCATAACTGCTATAATGGCCTGCCTGACTCTTCCATCATGCTCAGAGGCAGGTTGTGTGCTCAGTAATATTCATCTATTTTT